GTAATTCACTGTTTCAAAATCGAATGCATTCTTGGAAATATATTCAAAAGTGTACACCAAGACGTCGTGATTGGTTATTCTTGCATTAGCATGTAAGTTCTTAAATGCAAACACTTTCTTATCTTTGTTAATTATTTTGACTCGACTTCTGAAATTAATATCCTCCAAACTATGAAAAAATAAATGTTATGTAATACATAAAAAAAAAGTTTCAAAATGACATTATCATCTTTTTTTTAAGGATGTTCGCTTCTCTGTTTTAAAATAACAAGATTTTTAAAAGACTTTTACAAATTGATTGAATATAAAAAAAGAAACTGGAAAAAGCAGAAAAAATAATGGGTCCGTGTGGTTGTTTTCGAGATATAAGCCATTGAAAATTTGGCGGGAAATAGTTCTCTCAAGATTTTTCATATATTAACATTGGCAACTTTTTTCTTTCAAAAACCATGAAAAAATAACAAGGATTTTCAAAGATTTTCAAAGATGACATTGTAAACTATATGTAATCAAATTAGGGGAAAAAAGGACGGGGTTAGTGGGTATAATTTTAAAAGGTACTTCATGGATAAAACCAGAGAATTTCGAATATCTGGCAAAAATTCAAAAACAAGAGGAGCGAACATTCTTAATAAGTTAGGTTGCTGATAAGAGCCGTGTATAACTTGATTATTTTAGGTGTGAACTACACAATGTAATCGAATTCAATGAAGTCCCTTTCCCGTAAGTGTCCATAAGGAATTAATAGCTCAATCCTTGATTTTGCTGACTTTTTTTCAAATCAACGTCCATTCCCAAATGTCGAGTGGAAAGTACAAAAAATGTTGCGGAAAAAAATAAAATTTCAAGAAAATGAAATTGTTTAATACGCTTTAGTCACGTTTATTATACAAAGTATAATATAAGCATTCTATATCGAAAAGTATAAATGAATAAGATTATTTGAATAAAATATGTTCAAAACAGATACATTTTTTAAAAGATATTGCCTATAGTGTCGAGTTAATGATAATGTATGCATTCCATTTCTACGGGAACATTTAAACTGGAATTGAATTCACGTAATGTGTGCATGAAATTGTGTCCCTCATTACGTCTTAGCAGTTAAGAATTATTTAGTAAAGTAGAGCTAAACATCGAATCTACAAAAGAATACTAATTCATAATATTTGTTTGGGGATAATTTGGAAACGTAAAGTTGATGTTTTATGTTTATATATCAAGGTTATTTTCTTGTTGTCCAAGTCCTTTTTTGGAAACTTCGTTTTGTTACATTATTTATATATTTTTTATTTGTTATTTAATTTGTAAACGTAGATAGATTTTTCTCGTTGTACGTTTTTGATTATCGTGTTTAAATAGATTTTATTTTTAGTTATACTGATATTGTAACTAAACTTTTTTATGCCCACCTAAAGGCATTATGTTTTTCTGTCTGTGCGTCAATTCGTCCGTCCGTTCGTCCGTCCTTCCGTCTGTCCCGCTTCACGTTAACGTTTTTGGTCAAGGTAGTTTTTGATGAAGTTGAAGTCCAATTTAGTACACATGTTCCCTATGATATGATCTTTCTAAAGTTAATGCCAATTAACAGTTCTGACCCAAATTTCACGGTCCGCTGAACATAGAAAATAATAGTACGAGTAGGGCTTCCATATACTATGAACACATTCTTGTTAGTTAATGAAAATATGTTAATTTAGCAAAATGTAAATTCATCTTGAAGAGCATCGGTGTCCACAGCTGGTTCTGTTTCTCGACTATTTTCGTAAAATTTCCCGTCATATCTTGAAAAGCATCGGTGTTCCATAGCTGGTTCTCTTTCCCGTCTGTTTTTATGAGGTTTCCCGTCATATCTTGAAGAGTATCGGTGTTCCATAGCTGGTTCTCTTTCCCGTCTGTTTTCATGAGGTTTCCCATCATATCTTGAAGAGTATCGGTTTTCCATAGCTGGTTCTGTTTCCCGTCAGTTTTCATGAGGTTTCCCGTCATATCTTGAAGAGCATCTGTGTTCTATAGCTGGTTCTGTTTCCCGTCTGTTTTCGTGAGGTTTCCTGTCATCATTGATTAATTTTATTTCGAATATTTGGTAAAGACCAATACTGAATGCATCGTATTAATTAATGCAGAATTATTTTGCGGCAAAATTAAAAAAGAAGCATCAGTTGTGCCTCAGTATAGTAATGACCAAAGCAATTAAATATGATAATAATGGTGTGTTTTAAACAGACAATATAAGCACCATATTAATATATTAAGGACCAACGTGTATCTAATGTTATTTTTGAATATACAATAGTAACAGCTTTCGGGTAGACATAACTGATTACTTATGCATCATCTATTACCGGGAATGATTATTTGGACGACTTAATTCATGTTGTCTGTTAAACGATACATTCATTAATCTATATGCAATGATGTAGCATGTTGGATCCGAGAAATTTTTATGAGCCTCAGTTCCCTTATAAACTAAGTAAACTACGATTGGTCTTATATTCCGCTTCTCAAATACAAACATTATAATCATAATCTCGGAACTAAATATCCCATTTAAGAAATGTTTAACTGAAATTTTCTTAAAAAATTGTTGAAAGTGATCATTCACTTTTTATTTATTAGAAAATTAGACTATAGTAGTTTACTTTCGAATGACTCTAAGTTATTTTATAACTCACTGTACAATTTTTTTTTGAAATCTTTTATAGCGGGAAACGTCCGTAAGTACTATTTATTTATTATTTAAACTAATAGTTTTTGGTGTTACAAGTGATGTTTTAGGAAATTTCCTTCAACGCCAAGCTTATTGATTTTAACCATGTCTGTTATAAAGACAATTCTAGCAACTTAAACATATCAAGCAACCGATGATTTATTTTTTAAAATACAAGTCATCAAGGAACGACCATGTAACTACTAGGGAGGGGGGTATGGTTTTAAAAAATATTCTGATCCCCAATTTGCTGAAAAAAAAGTATTCTGAATCCAGATTTTCCCCATACCCTATAGTGGTAAATTTTGAAAAAAATAAATTGATTCATAGCGTCGAAAAACTAAATGAGAATTATCTGACTCAGAAAAAAAAAACAATAACCTCCCTCTCTTTGAAGTTAAATGGTTGCTCCCTTATTATTATAGCAATGATAAAATGAACATTTACTATCGGTTCTCTTATTTTGTAATTACATAAAAAGGTCGATGAACATCTCCCATCTTTTGTACTGGATACCTTAACTTCACAACAATCATAATGAAGGACCGATATAGCTATTCTCGAGCGTCACAGAAGGAAAATTAATGATAAAAATTCGCAACACATACAGTAAATAAAGGCAACAGTAGTATACCGCTGTTCAAAAGTCATAAATCGAATGAGAGAAAACAAATCCGGGTAACAAACTAGAACCAAGGGAAACACATCAACTATAAGATGAAATTGGTACAAGACATTTTAAGAAAAAAATTCGGATTGAACCTGGTTTTATGGCTAGCCAAAACTCCCGCTTATATGGCAATGTGAAAAAAATATCGCTAAAATGACAACACTGCATGACAGAAGACTCATCACAGAAAAACGCACAAACAATAATTAAATAGTCTTCACAACATGCCAACCGCAGAACAAAACGTAACATTGGTACCGTTAATGTTATTACTCACACTAGGTCGATACCTCTGCTAGTGGTCTTTTAGTCTCCTAGCCCACACTAGGTCGATACCTCTGCTGGTGGTCTTTTAGTCTTCTAGGCCACGCTAGGTCGATACTTCTGCTAGTGGTCTTTTAGTCTCCTAGCCCACACTAGGTCGATACCTCTGCTAGTGGTCTTTTAGTCTCCTAGCCCACACTAGGTCGATACCTCTGCTAGTGGTCTTTTAGTCTCCTAGCCCACACTAGGTCGATACCTCTGCTAGTGGTCTTTTAGTCTCCTAGCCCACACTAGGTCGATACCTCTGCTGGTGGTCTTTTAGTCTTCTAGGCCACACTAGGTCGATACTTCTGCTGGTGGTCTTTTAGTCTCCTAGCCCACACTAGGTCGATACCTCTGATGGTGGTCTTTTAGTCTCGTATACCACACTAGGTCGATACCTCTGCAGGTGGTCTGTTAGTCTCCAAGTCCAGTAGTTAAAAATACAGATAGTGTTTGATTTAAGTTTGCTGTTAAAAAAAAATTCGAAATCATTTTGAATTAAAAATGTAATTCCCTCGTGTATAGCTCTGATTCCTTTTCCGGTTTTGGACTTATTTTGGTCGTTGTTGCGTTTATCAGCTCTAAAATATGTGTGTTCAAATTTGGAATTTTAAATATTTTAGTCTCCAGCATAACTGAAGAGACATCAATAATGCGCATCTGGGTCAGTTAACTCTGTAGAGTTAATATGAATATACTACTTAAAGTGGTACAAACAACCTTGACTAACAGTAATTTGGCTCGTTTAATTTTCATGATATTCTGGCAAAAATATAAAAAAATACCAAACAAAATAGAACCACACACTTTATCGGAACAATTGCATTGAATATATAGCAGTTTGACAAACACTAATTTTGATCATTGACAGTCTTAATATTTCATTAACAATAGAACGTGATTAAACCGTTCAGCTGGTTTTTACAGAGTTATCTCCCTGTAGTGTTATAAACCACCTTAAAGTTTGTTCAATGATTCATTCAACAACCTATATAAAATTATGTAGCATTATTGATACGGCGAAAATGTTAACATGCCTCTGTATATAGCTTCACTATTTCCGTTGAAACAAAGTTAAGGAAAGCTGGTCTCATTCTCCTCTTCTTACATACAACAGTTAAATGATTATCTTGGAAAAAAAGTAAATATACCCAATCTATAAATGTTTGATTGAGTCTTCTTAAAAAATTGCTGAGAGTGATTCTTTACTTTTTAAGAACTAGAAAAACAATTTTGAGTGGGTTACCTGTATATGACTCTAAAAAAATGGATAACTCATTTTACACTAAACTTTATTGTGTTTGTCTTTTACAGCACAAACATTCAGTAAGTATTGTTTCTCTTATGCAAATACGTTCTGTGATACAGGAAAAACATGTTTAGGAAATTGTTTTCAACGGCAAGCTTCTTGTTTTGAATCACGTCTTTACTGAAAACCATACTCGGCTAACATTTAACAGTATAAAGCAATCAAAGATTTAAGTCTTAAAAATACCAACACGCTTGCTTCTCTCCTTTTATAATCACAAATTAAGGACGTTTGAACATCTCCTGTCTTTTCACTGGATACCTAAACTAAAAAACAAAAAGCCTGAAAAAAACGATATATAGCCAGGGCGTCAACATTTTGACTTAACATCTTTCTTAAGTATCCCACCATTCTTTTAAAAGTAAAATATAATATTCAGATATTTTGTGATGGTGTATATATACTAGTCAACAAAAGTAACGATACAAGGTAATGCATTTTCCATATATAATGAAATTGGATACACTGTACCAAGGTAAATAATTGCCCAAATGGTCTTAGTGTTATGTTCTTATCAAAACCATTAATATAAGGCAAATACTGCAATATTTGTTATTTCAAAAAACGTATTTTCACCCGAAAATTGATATAAGAACTTAAAAAACCTTAAACTTAAACATTGCTGCTGAAAATTAAGAATGTATTTGCAGATATTTGAATACTTAAAAGAGGGACGAAAGATACTAGAGGGACAGTCAAACTCATAGATCGAAAACAAACTGACAACGCCATGGCCAAAAATAAAAAGACAAACAGACAAATAAAAGTACAGATGACACAACATAGAAAACAAAAGACTAAGCAACACGAACCCCACCAAAAATTGGGGGTGATCTCAGGTGCTCCGGAAGATTGAGCAGATCCTGCTCCACATGTGGCACCCGTCGTGTTGCTTATGTTATTACAAATTCTCATCTTCGAAATTAAGGGCCGAATTTTGTCATCATTTCCACAAAAAATAATGTTGACCCCTGTGTTCCATTACACGATATTTTCTCAATTTCCAAATTGGTCAGATTCTTTTAATCGTATGCATTTGCTTTGCAAATGAATGTTTTTCATTGGATACTTTAACAGTTTTTCTTATTTATTTTATTCTATGATAAATTGGAGTTCAAACTTGTGTATCACTACTTTTGTTGACTAGTATATGTTATAGTGAATTTGTAAAATGAGTGATTTTGTAAAATCCCTTAATATTTTAGGAGTTCTATTAAATTACTGGATTTATGGGTAAATTTATAAAATCTCCGTTTAAGACTATGAGTTTTACAAATAACTGAATTAATAGTTATTAAAATATAGTCTATCTCGATTCAGTGAATTTAGAAAAAAAATATAAAAATAAGGAGACGAGGTATGATTGCCAATGAGACAACTATCCACTCAAGTTCAAATGAACTGGATGTGAGCAATCATAGGCAATCGTACGGCCTTCAACAATGAGAAAAACCCATACCATATAGTCGGCTATAAAAGCCCCAACATGAAAAATATGAAACAATTCAAATAAGAAAAAAACTAACGGACATATTTACAACAAAACAATTTACGAAACAAATATTACAGACATGAACCAACGACAACCACTGAAGTTTATGCTCCTGACTTGGGACAGGTACATAAAAAAATGTGGCGGGGTGAAACATGTTTGTGAGCGCTCAACCATCCCTCTATCAAAAAACTCATTTTAGATATTTGGGCTTGCTATCCCGATATTGTATTTAATTTAAACACTGGAGTACAGCAAAACTTTCTGAATCAGTTGCATGTGATCCTATTAGTATTCTGCATAGAAGAAGGAATTTGTCCTCCCAAGAAATGAGAACGATAAAGGCAAAGGCGTAACTGGACCAAAGATGCTTCACATCAGAATAAACTGGTCACAAACCTGGGATAGTAGATCAATTTTTTTGTGCTTGTGTATACTTCCATATTAAGAATTGTAAAATACTTAAATTGATCTTTACTTGCTTAAAATTGAGAATGGAAATGGGGTATGTGTAAAAAAAAAAAATCACAAAAATCACAAAATTACCGACTCCAATGAAAATTCAAAACGGAAATTCCCTAATCAAATTGCAAAATCAAAAGCTCAAACACATCAAACCTTGTTTTACAGCTAGCTAAACCTCTCGCTTGTATGAGAGTCGCTTAAACTTCCATTATATTGACAATGATGTGCGAACAAAACAAACAGACATAATAAGTAAAAATGTCAAAATAGAGGTTAAACAGTCAACAGTCAACATTGTGTTAAAATCTTAATCACTTTAAAAACAAATAAGTGTGTAATAAAGAAACACAAAAAGGCATATAAAAAAGACAAAGAGACAACAACCCGACCAAAGAGCAGAAAACAGCCGAAGGCCACAAATGGGTATTTAACAGAAAAGAAAAGAATAAATGTTGAAGTCATGTTTAATGTTTCAGTAAAAGTCAAACTGATCAACTGCGGTAAACTCTGTTACCTTCAGACCATTTCTACACGATGACCTCAGTCTATGGTCATGCTATTCAAAACTTGTTATTAATCTGAACAAAATGATAAAATACTGAATTGTCTGAAACACTACTGAAGGGCACTCAATTGAATGCAATCGTAATGTCTGAATAGTACTGAATGTACAAAAAAGGAAATATATGCAAAATATATCTTACCAGATAAAACGATTCAGACTTTTTACATTTATGTATAGATTAAAATGGCTTTTCAAGATAAAATTACGTTTCCTAGTGAACGGATGATAATTCTTGAGCTGGACATGTTGTATTCTTTACCATATATAATAATTTCACATGCATTCAAATATCAATACATTTCAATTATACATTCTAGGTATTGCGAGAATTGTGGGTAAGTTTTTATGTTTTTTATACGGTTGGTACCTGTCATATAAATTGGCATTCTGAAATAACAAGTCCCTAAGTCAATCGCAAAATCAAAAGCTCAAACACAACAAACGAATGGATAGCAACTGTCGTATTACTGACTTGGTACAGGCATTTTCTTATGTAGAAAATGGTAGATTAAAACTTAGTTTGATAGCTACCCAAACCTTACACTTGTATGATAGTCGCATCAAATGTACATTTTTATTGAACAAAAAGACGACAAGAACAAGAGAAAACTATTGAAACTATCTGTTCATTTGCTGTTTAATTAATTTACAGAGTTATCAATACTGATCGCGTACCACCAATCGGCAATCCTCGGGTGAATCAGCTACTCTCATCCTGATGAAGGTACGGAATCGGCCAAGCTGTGACGAATGCTTGTACCACCATATACTCATGGTTCGGTTAACTATTACGATTAACGTTAAAATGTGTACGCTTAATTAAGAGTTACCATGTAAATTTCGTAAGACATGTTCGAGACCAGACCTTTCGGAAGCCAATTGTGTATTCCGGAAGATAACATAACATACGAGTATAAAAAGAGTAAGTTAAACATTCACACGCCATCTTACAAATGTTTAAAAGCTTTAAATAAATAACAAACAAAAAACCCAAAAACAATCCAATAAGCTGGCATAGCAATGAATGAATTGCAATAAGTTTCTTTTCGTGATTGCAAATGAATTGTTCAAATAAAGACAAATAAGAGTTGATTATAGGTTGATTTCCAAAACCAACCACAATATTCTGTTTTTCTTTTATTTGTACAGGTATACTTTCATATGAATTAGATAATTAAGTGACAGATTCTCATTTGAATTTCAGCAAGTTTTACAATATAATATTTTATTTCATTGATACAGTAATTTTATCAATGCTAGAGTGTATGTCTGAATTATTTTATTGTTTTCGAGATAAATATGACATACATATATATTGCTTAATGTAATTTACGTGGTGTTGTATTTGTTTTAGGAAAGAAAATCCATGTAAATATATTGGGATGTGTGAATAGACCGGTAATATAGAACAAGCATGATGAATATTTCATCTGTACCTCTACACGATTAACAAGTAGTTTAAAACAGAATGTCTATTATTTACTTGCGTTTTACTTCACGAGTAATGGTATAGAAATTTTGCATAAATATGAAAATGAATGTACATTTCTATCTTATCAACCTCTTCTCTAAGTTGATATATATTGTATTCCTTTCATCAATCAAAATGTACACTTTTGTACAAAAATCAATGTTAGGTAAAAAAAGGTTGCGGATGATACCAAATGAAAAACCAAAAATGATAAAAATAACGAACTCCGAAGTAAATTCAAAACGGAAAGTCCGTAATCAAATGGCAAAATCAAAAGCTCAAACATATCAAAAGAATGGATAACAACTGTCATATTCCTGACTTGGTACAGGCATTTCCTTATGTAAGAAATGGTGGATTAAACCTGGTTTTATAGCTATCTAAACCTCTCACTTGTATGACAGTTGCATTAAATTCAATTATATTGGCAACGATGTGTGAACCAAGCAAACAGACATAATAGGTAAAAATGTCAAAATTAGGGGTACCCGGTACAGCGGTCAACATTGTCTATAATCCTAATCACTATAAAAACAAACAAATATGTAACAAAGAAACAAAGCACATAAGCAAAAATGAAAAACAAAATACAAAAATTTACCATAGCACAATAACACAATGGCAGAGCCCCGTCATATGGATATCACCAAAGACAGACTAAACAGTAAAAGTAATATTCATAAAGACAAAAAAGGAATACTGTTACACGTTATTAAGATGATAAACAACGTCATTACCCAGAATATATACTTCAAGACCATCGTGTATTATTTGTAAAGTTGATACGGAATATTTATCAACAAGGTATTGGTACCTTCCGATGAACTTTTTTAGAAAAAGGACGAGACGTTCTTTGACATACCCCTAGTTCATCAACTTTCTACTCAGACACTGGTGACGTTTTACAAAGTCTGAGTAGCAGCTGCAAGCTCTTGAATACCGAATAAGTTGGGAAATTTATATCCCATATGCAGGTGAAGTTGGCATATTGCTACTAAGTTGGGGGAAATTGATAATTTTAAAATTAAAATCGTCTCGTTTGTCATAGATTCTGGTACTGAGATGACCGTGTATGTCAAATTCGAGGTATAATTCTAAAAATGAGGCGGAGGAAGCCGTGTCTATTGTTTCTTTAATTTCTAGTTCTGGGGGAAATATTAATAGAACCCAATCAGAAAAGTTTGGATTGTTAATGGAAAGAAGATCATCAATATATCTGAATGTGAAATTAAATGACCTAGCTTCTTTGATCTTCTTGTTTTAACAAGTGTCTGAAGGAACTCTGATTCATATGAAAATAAGAAGAGGTCGGCTAGGAGAGGCACGTAGTTCGTTCTCATAGGAATGCCGACAATTTGTTGAAAAGTCTACCTCCGAATTCAACAAATATGTTGTCAATAAGAAACTCCAGCATACTGATCACTTGTTCCTCTGTGAAGCATGTTTTACCTTTCTGTTCACTATTAACAAAATATATTGTATGATACTAAAAAGTAATAAATTTATAGCGTATGCTAACATTTTTATGTTGAAAAGTATTGTGGATTATTTCTTTTAGACGATTTTTCAATTTCACATGGGGAATGGTGGTATACAGGGTTGAAAAATCAAAAGTTTTGATAGAACTAATTTCAGAAAAAGATCGAGATTTAAAATTATCCATAAGTTCTTTAGAGTTTTTAGAATCCGCATATGGTTAATACCACTACGCGAGTAAACAGTTTCACAGTATTTCTGAAAACCCTCTTTCACTACAGACATAATTTTTGTCAATCTGATGGACAATTCTTTAGTCGAACATGCAGATGAGCCGGCAATGTACCGTTGTTTGTACGGAATTTTGTGAAGCTTAGGTATCCAATACAAACAAGGTAAGTCCTCCGATTTGTTGTTCAATGTAATGTTCATTGAAGCCATGAAAGACGTATGATTCGCCAAAATCTCATCCTTGTCAAGTGATATGTTTTTGAATGTGGGATTACCTGAGTGCTCAGTTATTCCTTATTATTTTACAGACACTCGTAGTAGTACGATTTACATAGAAAGACAATATTATTTGAAACTTTGTCCGCAGGAACAAGAACATACTTATCGTAAAGAGATGATAAACATTTCACGGCCTCTTTGTCTCTGAAAACGGAATTAGGTCGATCATTCACACAGTTTTTCAACTTATGAATTCGACGTTTTATCAGAGCCCTGATTGTTTTGACCAATTCTGACAAAGTATCCAGTTCAACTTCTTCTCGTTTATCCCATGCTCTGGCGTAGTCCTCAGTGGAATCCATAATTATTTTTAAGTTATTGTTCCAACTGATGTATGAGGGTTCTTTAAACTATGGACCATGAGATATCACCTTTCGGAGATTTTCATGTTGAATTATGTTTAGATCCCCAGTAGTTACATGGCCAGAGGGGTTGTAAATATAAGGCGAGTGAGAACGGTCACATGTCAGAGGTATTTTTAGGTATTGTTCTAAATCAAGGTCCTGCAATGCTTGTTTATAGTTAAATACTTTCGGTGCAATGGTTTTGGTGTAACTGTAGGATACAATAGGAACAAACTGATTTTGAAAAAAAGTGAAATTTTAGATGTTACCTCCTTGTGATGTAGAACGTTGCTGATGTTGATTGCATCAATTCCTCGATTGGTAAACTGAGCAGGAAGGAATTTCTTCTTTTCCTCATGTTAAGGTTCCGATCTTACTGGTTGAAAAAGGCGGAGAAGAGCTACATCACAAATTATACTGACAAGTCTGTATATTGGAGAAAATGTATTTATGCATCCTTTGTCAAGTGCATAATCTCTCAAACATTTTAGTAAATTAACAGGCAGTGAAAAGGAATAGTTCTAATGTAATGTAATGTAACCCTAGCGGATGATGAAGATGTGAAAGAAGTTCATCACAGCTTCCAGTGGGCGATCTAGATTTGATAGACTTTTTTACATTAGGCCGATGGTAATGTTTTTGCCCATGACTACGTTGGTGTCGTAAGGTTGTATTAAATAAGCTCATTGCATTAACATCACTGCAGGCTGGACTTGACAAATTTCCTACTCCTTTGATGTTATCATTGCAACCATATGGCATTGCAGTACCTAGGTCCCTTATCCAGAAATTTTCTCTATCATTTAGGAAAGGAGTACTAAGTATAGGGCTATTGGCGTGATGATAAATTTTCTCGATGATGCGTACTTTCATAGATAAAGAAGGATCATGGTCCGGTTGATTAAAATGGTTATAAAGAACCCTGAATTGCGGATCTTAATTATCAGACCAGTGTTGATTCATCCTTTTACGCAAAGTTTGTCGAGTTTCACCAACATGAAGTAATCCACACAAAGTACATTCAATTCCGTACACGATATTGTCCGTGGAACAGTCCAGAGGCTCGAAAGATTTAGTATAATACGTTTTTTCTGTTAAGTTACTGGTAAAATTAGAAGTCGTAATTAACATATTACATGTGCTACACGTGCTCCTTTTTCCTTTTTTATGTTTACAAGAAGAAATGATAGGTGTTGATTCACTTGTAGCAGGTGTCTTTAAACAGTTGAAAATATTAACGCAACATGGTTTTAATTTATGAAAAGTATCTGAATTTTCAAAGTAGTAATTACCTTCTGGCTGAACATACGTCAAATCAGGGGTATTCCGGAGGATATTCCGTGGAACACACAAATCAACTGCAACAGTGTTCCGTGTAGCAGAAGAAGACCTTGGTTATTTGTATTCATCATGCAATAAGCTACCAATTTAATGATGACCTCGGGGAAAATAAATGTCCAATCCTTTTGTCTTTTCCTTATCCGGAATTCTTCTCTTCACTGTTGCGGGAAACCAAACAGAATATTATGTCCAATAAGTCACAATCTAGTATGATGTTGTTTTATACTGTACCACGAGTTGTTCAATTTATGAATTTTGATTTTCAACATCTTAAAAGAAAGTTAAAACTATCACAAAACCAAACACTGATGTTGTTGTGTAATTTATTACAATCGATTACTTTATCAATAGTAATTATATTACTTTTCGATTACTGTCATTTACATGCATCTAATTTTTAAATAACTAGAGAAAGCTTACCACAATTATACTGGTCAATGAGTTTGTTAGTGGAAATTAAGAACTTTACACAAGCACTGCTTCTAAACTTCCTCTTCTAAACAGTTGATGTCTAGACCTATAAACCAAATAAATTATAAGTTCTTAAAATATGGGTCAACAAGAGAGAGTGGTAATAAAATTCATTCATTGACTTCCACCAATGCACCAGTCACATATTTTTATTATGGGCCATGTGGTTCATATTTTGCACATTTTTTATGACACACTCTCTTACTGACTTAAATTTTGTTGTTCGTTTATCTCTTTTTTAGCAGATCATAACTTTGAATTTTTAGAAGATAATTGATTATGTTCATTACTATAAAAGTATTTGATAATTTTACTTAAACTTTAACATAAAAGAGTAATAATTTGTCTACATAATTTGATAGATGGATACTTAAAATAATTAGATACATGGATTTATATTTTTGTTTGGATAATCTTCTCAATATTATATTTCATAAAGCTGGCAATGGAGTATTATTTATATCCAAGGGCCATATAATATTAGTTTGATACTTAATTAGATATGATTGAAATCAAAACAAAGTATGCATGTCACTCATTGAATGTCTTTTATCATCTGATCAGAAAAGCCAAAAAAGGCAAATGAGAATTTTTTATAATCTATTTAAATTTATAAACATTCTATGTTTTATATTGTCAAAATGTGTTTTCAAGAATTGTGAGTTATTTGTTTAAAGAGCTGGAAATGCAGTATAATGTGTCAGGAAATCTGTTTGAACATAAGGCAACTTTGAGGCAAACATAAAACTGAATGAGAAGTTTGATTCAAATCTCAAGTCCTGTTTATACTTTCTATTTAATCTGTACCAAAAAATAAAGAATACATACAGTTGTCTATTTTCATCTAAACTAGGTTTTATTTTACTGTCGATTACTTGGACAAATGTAATCAATTTCAATCGATTATGATTATAGATAACAATAACCCAATTCCTGGTTGTTATAATTATATATTTTCTGTGCA